TCCCCAAAGGATTACCGTTAAATTTGACACAGATCTATAGAAAAATCAAGTCTCACCTCTTTGTGATAATTTTTTTAGAGATACGTGTCAAATTTAATGGTGATCATTGAAGTCCTGTACACATGGGTAATGAAAGGTCTTATAAGATCATTATTGGTACGGATCTCTAAAAAAATCAAGTGTCACACTCATGTGATGACTTTTTTAAATATTCATCTCAAATTTGAGGTCCTACACACATGATTGTAGAAGGTCGTACATGATCATTTTATATATATATATTTTGGCCATTATGGGTGATCGGAAACTAAGTCGCCGCTAATGCCTTTATACCGTCCATTTAAATGGACGGTGATACCCAATAAGAAAAGCCATCTTCGTACGTTAACAGAACTCCCGTAAATTGATAAATAAAAATTGCGGTAAAGTTTCGTCCATAGCCTCTCTCTCTCCGAAACGAAAGAGAATCCATCGCCCCGAAATTTTCATTTCAAATCTGTCCCTTACTCTCGAAAACCAGGCGTCCCCCTCTTTTGCTCTCTGAACTCAGAGCACCACTCTCTCTCACTCTCTGGAACTCGGAGAGGCCCTCTCTCTCACACTCTTTATGTCAGACCAGGTCCTCTCTCTCGCTCTCTGGAACTCAGACGGACCCTATCTCTTGCTCAATCGAACTCAGATCAGTCCGGCCCTCTCGTTCACTCAATCGAGCTCAGATCAGGTACGCTATCTCTCTATCTCATTTTTTAGGGCATATTTATGAATCTCTCTCTATCTCATTTTTTTAGGGCATGTTTTTACAGTTCCTCTATCTGTTTCTACCTTGATTAATTTTTGAGCACGTTTTTACAGTTTCTCTATCTCTATCTACCTCGAAATATTTTAGGGCATGCTTTTATAGTTTTTTTTTCTCTCTACCTTGAAATATTTTAGGGCATATGTTTTTAGTTTGATTCTACATTTTTTTTAGGTATAAGGTTGCAAGTATTTGGATATTTTTTCTGGTATATGTTTTGCAATGTACACATGCTCGTTTTTTCATTTATTTTATTGTTTTTTCTGGTATTAATAAGATATTTTCACCTTGGAATATATGAGATTAAGCAGGTCTTACTGTGGAAACATTTTTCTGGTTTACTGTTGATTTGGAAACATATTACAAAACTAGAACTCAGATTGCTGTGGAAACATTTTATTGGTTTTACTGTGGATTTGGAAACATATTACAAAAACATAAAAACGCAGATCACGGTGGAAACATATTACTGGTTTTAATTTGGAAACATATTACTGGTTTTACTATGGATTTTCTGTTACTTTTATTTGTGATCTCCATTCTAATGGAGATGCTATTGTTCGAGACAAAGGCACTAAGATTGAACTAAACATTATTGACTTTAATTAATTACCAAAACCCAAGGCAGTAACTTAAAAGTACGATTCAGTTTTGAACAATTCTGTATAGAGAACTTTTCATCTCCCTTTAGTATATGTCGGCAGCGCATGACTCAATTTGTTGCCCTTATCTTTTTATAAATATGCATAATTGCCTTGACGACATTTATTCTCCATTTGCGTATACTCTTCTCAAAGACATTTGTATTGCAATTTTATCCTTTATATACTCATTTCAAGGATATAATTGTATCTTTGAGATGAGTATATGCAAATGAATTTCTTTTTTGGCAAATGTCTCAAAGTAAGTGTTTTTTTTCATTGCTTGTATAAGTTGTGTTATTTTGAGATGTCTTCTTCGGGATCTAATAGGAATGGTGATCTTGGTTGGAAATACGGCTACAACCCAGATCCTAATGATAAGAATTGTATAAGATGCAAGTTTTGTGAGAAAGATACAAAAGGGACATCAACCGGTTCAAGAAAGATCTTGCTGATATCAGGGGGCATGTTGCCCCATGTAAAGGAATCCTGATGTTGTTAAAGAGGAAATAACCAATTTTTTGAGTATGATAAAAATGAAAAAAGATGAGAAATTTGTCTCCATAGCAGAGATTAGGTCTGTGATTCAGGTCAGTTATGATGATGATAATAGTGATGAGGATGGGGAAGGATGTCAAGAGGTAGAATAATTCTTTATTAGGGGAAATGGAAAGGGAGTTATACTTGCTTCTGGTTCTGGGAGTAAGAAGCCTCAGGTTAGAGGCCCTATAGATAGTTTTATGCCCCGGCCTGACCCTAAAGTTGCAAGAGAGAAAACAAAGAAGCGAACCACTATTGAAAATAGAATGAAGAAAGAAGAGAGAGATAGGGTTGCTTTTTTTTATTGCTACATGGTTATTGAGGCGAACATTCCTTTCAATATTGCTCGCCTAAGCAGCTTCTATGCTTTGGTAGAGGCAATTGGCCAATTTGGGCATGAGATGAAACCCTCAACCCCATATGAGCTTTCATAGACTCTTTTGAAAAAAGTGGTGAGTGTCACGAAGGATGTTGTAGAAGTTAAGGATGCATGGGCTCAGTATGGAGTTTCTATTATGATTGATGCTTGGAGTGATGAAGAGAAGAAGTCAAATGAATTTGTTGTGAATTGTCCTTTAGGGAATGTTTTTTGGAGGTCTATTGATGCATCTGATTATACCCATGATGTCCATTACATATTCTAAGTTATAGAGAAGGGAATCAAGGAGCTTGGGGAGCATCTTGTTGTACAAGTTGTCACAGACAATGTTGCTCCTAATGTTGCTATTGCTAATCTGTTGCGCATAGCTTATCCTAGAATCTTTTGGATACCATGTGCTGCACATTGTATAGACCTCATGCTTGAGGCACTTGGCGGTTTAACCGAGATATCAGGTGCAGTTAAGAAGGCAAAGTCAGTTACAAATTTCATTTATAGCCACCATCTCACCCTCAACATGATGCGTAGATTTCAAAGAAGAAAGAGATTGTGAGGCCTGGGGTCATGAGATTTGCGACCTGGTACTTATGCCTAGATAGCATACATTCGAGGGCGTGTAGTTGAGGCAGATGTTTACCTCGGATGACTGAAGAGTATGCAAGTGGTCCAAAGATCAGGTTGGGAAGAAGGTGAGAGATATTATCTTTTTTAAGGCTTTTTGACGAGGGGTGAATGGCACTCTTAAGGTATTTTTTTTTCTTATCAAAGTCTTTCGCATGGTTGATAGTGACAAGGCTTCTATAGGCTACATATATGAGGCTATGGAGAAATGCAAAAGAGAGACAAAATTTTGATGATGATGAGGACTGCTACAAGCCTGTTTGGGAGACTATTGATGAGAAGTGGGATATGCAGCTACATCGGTCATTGCGTGCAGCTGGTTATTATTTGAACCTAGTTTTTTTTGTTATGTTAACAAGGATATACACACAAATGAGACAATGATGATTGGATTTAATAAGTGTGTAGATGTGCTAGTCCTTAATCTTGATATCCAGGATATTATCTATGCTGATGAGTTGATAAATTACAAGTACTCATTAAAGTCTTTTGGGAGTCCAATGGCGATGAGGCAAAGGACCAAAATTGATCCAGGTAGTAATGATATTCTTAAGTTCATCAAGTTCAAGTAATTAAGGTTTATTTTTGTAATTCTTTTATTTATTTATGATTTTATTCTATATCTTTGCAGCCAATTGGTGGAGCCAACATGGGTGTAGCTCTCCAAATTTACAGAAGTTGGCCATTTGGATCTTAAACCTAACCACTTCCTCGTCCAGTTGTGAGCGAAATTGGAGTACTTTTGAAGGGGTAAGGGTAATTTATATAATTGTATTAGTAATACATGAATTATAGATTTTAATTATTTAACATTTGTATTAATTAGTTTCATTTGATTTTGTTAGATTTATACCAAGAAAAGGAACAGGCTTGAATCAAATAGGCTCAATGAATTAGTCTATGTCAAGTATAATCAATTCTTGAAGGACATGTTTGCTAAGAGAGATGAGAGAGACCTATCAGATAAAAAAGTATGGACAATGCTATGGAGGAACATGAAGGATATACATGGGACATGCTCATAGATGCTTCAGGGACATCAGGCGAGCTTCCTAAGGCCACTAGATCTTTTCCACAGAGGACGAGGGTGGAGGAAGAGGAGGAAGAAGAGGTAGATTCATAAGAGATGGAGGAGGACGCCCTATATGTCGAGGAGGGTGACGACTTTGATTCATATGATGTAAATGCGGTTGACCCTACTTTTTTTGATGATGAATGATGAATAATAATTAAACTTTGAACATTGATTGAAGATTCTTTTGAGTCTTCAAGTATTACTTTCATTTTTGTTTTTTACCTCTTGGTTGTGTATTATGAATAATGGATTTGTAGTTCCATTGGTTTTGTAATTGGTAACTTTGGTTTGGTAATTTTGTTAGTAAATTTTAAGTTTTAATTGAATATGGACCAACTTATGGTTATGATTACGGAGTGTGTGTTCATGTGTAATATACTTTTGAATTCTGATGTAACCTCAATACCTAATTCTTATATTTTATACAATATATATATTGTTAAATACTATAGAATCCTTTTTTGATTCAACTGGGCTGCCCAGGTTCTGGGCACCCGCCTAGGCGCTGGGTAGCTTGGACCCCCCAGGCTGCCTAAGACCCGCCTAGCGTTTTTTGAAACATTGTACCCTTTATAACTGTTAAACAATTAATTGTATCATAAGCCACACTCTTCCTTTATTAGCAAAACTGATAACTATTAATTGCTTATACAATCCATGTTCACCACGTATTGAACATGTATTTTGGAATCTATTTTATTCCATCTTTCTTTATCTCTCTTTTATCTTTTGGCATTGCTGTATAGGCATCTGCTAACATAGACTACAGCCCATATTGAACATGCCGGAATCCATTAAAACGACAGTTGAAAAACCATATATCAGATAATTTATTTCTATTGATAGGATTTATTTTCTGGGGCAAAGAAATTGATTACTTAGAGACAACTATGTCGTTTTCCTTAAATATCGATGATGGTAGCACCACCGCTATTTTGGAAGATTGTGGTGCCGATTCTATGGTGTAACATACTAGTAACTTGGATGGGGGACAAGATTTATTGTCTGTAGATGAAGAAGGAGCAGCACTCGCAAGAGGAGTGAGCCTGTAAGTGGATGATTGATTTACTCTTTTGAATTAGCACTCTATTGTTACTCTATGCATTAGTCTATTTGTTTTAAAAGATATATTTTGTAGGAAACTAACAAATCATATGTATCTTGTAGGGCTGTTGGGAATGTTCCAAGTGGTATGATGGGTTCCCGAAATAGCCCGGCCGAAAATGGAAGTGGTGTGAGATGGTTGATTCTAAAGTAACTTGCAAATTCATGTTAACTCTATGTAATAGTATATATATTTATTGAAGTTTATTAATTCAAAGAGCGGTTGCTGATTTTGTTGATTTCTCCTTCTTGTTGCAGGTCAAAAAGGAAGGTTGTGAAGGGCTAAAGAGCTTAAATTTATGCTACTTGTTTGGTGTAAATTGTTAATTCTTATTGCGCTTTATAGAATCGTGATACTTTTGCTGGTAAAGTAACTGTTGCTGGTTTTTGTTTGAAAGCAATATCAAATCCCATTGATTGAAGTTTTGAACAAAAATTTTTCTTGGATTAATTGCTTGATCATTGAAGACTTTGCTAATCCACTGTTAGAGAAAATCATGAACAACCAATTATTTAATTTTGAACTATTTGCTGTTGATTTAATAGCATCCTGAAACCAGAGCATTTTTGTTGATGATTGTACCATTGTAACCCACAATTTTCCTCTCTTTTGCCTTTTGTTGATGATTGTACCGTCGTATCTTAAAGTGGATGTGCTCAATTGTGGTTGTTTCTCATAGGATCAATATTATGCTTATTTTATTTATAGTGTGGATATCCTTCCACTTCTATTTGTGGGTTTTCCTGTGAATGAATTAGTATTGTACAATGAATAATGACATGAAGCCATGAACTTTTTGTATCTGATCTCTCCTTTGAAGGAATTAGTATTCCACACGCTTTGTTATGAGCCACACAGACGTTGCCAAGTATGTGGCTCCTATAGAGATTGTTTGGAACCAAGGACTACCTCAGAATGTCGACTTTTCATCATGAGATATCCCTTTGAGGAGCAAAGAGTGGCAAGACAGAGAGGAAGTTTCTTACTCAAAAGTCAGATATTACAATCTATTGAGATTAAAATTCTGATCCATGTCGGATCCTGAATGTACGAAGAAATGTTAACGATGGCTCACTAAAGCCTGAAATTTTACATTGTAATACATAACATCATTAGGAGTTTTATTTTACTGGTGTCGGAAGATTTTCACTTCTAAGTCAATTATTCATCTAGTAACTTCATTATTTATAGCTATTGAAGCGTTCTCCTTTATGTGATGTACTAAATATCCATGGGAGTAGATCCAGAGGGTCTTTTACATGAAGTATCCAAATTGATGCTTTGGATTTTGACTAGTTAGAGGAGTTTAATTCGTGTATGATATTCTCTACAAACGACATCCAAATGCCTGAATTTTCATATATTAAACATATTTGCTTTACAAGAACTGTGTACACGTTCATTAGCATTTTGGTATAATTATCAACTAGAACGAAAGCTTGATCCTTTTTATGCAAAGTTCAATTTCTTTTTTATTTTCTTTTTTTTCCCCTGGCGAATGCGTTCAATTTATTAGCATAATCAAAGATCTTCAAATTACAAGATTCCAGTATGCCTAAATTGGTTGTAAAGTTGGTGTTAAATATTGGAGTGGCTGCTAAAGATCTGTTAATGAGACATTCAACCGTCATGCTTCTATCATGGTTTAAACTTTTGGAGAGTAGAGCTATTATCCTCCGAAAGTGGAGAAAATCTTCACTATTACGGAGGTTACCTTTGGCACTTCTGTTTCCCTAGCTGTTTAAGATTAGAAGAAGAATGATTAAATATTCGGGATTTAAATCCAGTCTAATTTACCCGTCTCTACACCTGTGCGCAGCTTAGTTAAAGCTGATGAAATTCATAACATTGCAAGCTACAGAGAGAGAGAGATTCCACTGATGAAATTCATAACATTGCAAGCTAGAGAGAGAGAGAGAGAGAATTGAGATTCCGGTAACATATGCATCTAGTTGATTGCAAATAATCCAAAATTACAACATGAACGCGAAACTTTACTCCTTTTTATAGGGAGAAAAAAAGTATCAACATTAACCAAATTACTCATAAATAATATGCCTATAATTACATGCTTCATGGGTCAAGTTTCAGTTTAATCTGGCACTCCAAGACAAAGTTATAGGTAAAATACAAAAAAAGAGTAGGCTGCACACTATTCTCGTACACCCTCCTTACACCAAAGCACCATTAAAGGTGACTGTTTTACAGTTTCGAGCAGTGAATTTTAGGGATCATATTGCATTTGTCCCAAGTCGAATCATGCTCATATTTTGTGAGCGTGTTCTCGTCAAAACGAGCGTTTCGATATGTGGCACGCCTCATGACGATACCCGAGCAGGAAGAAAAGCTATAGAGAAATTGTTGATTTGTGAAGAAAGTTGCAGAAAAATCAACGGCGATACGCCTTGCTCAAGCGGCCAAATTATGTCGCTCGCGCATTGGATTGACATGAAACAAGTTCCATCACGTGCATAAGGTCAAGGGATCTGTCTGGTTTGAACTTCGTACATGATGAACAGTCGGATTTAGTACACAAGCGAGTCGAAGTGAATACAAATTCCAGTGCTAGAATTCTAGATTCCGGCCAAAAGTCCAAAGTTGTAAAATCTTCATTCGGACATGAAATCAAGCTACGTTTGTTGCCACGTGATCATGACAACATGCTTAGTGTGATACAATGAAAAAATCACAAAGAAACATCAAGAAACGAGCACATTATTGATCCTAAGTTTTCAATATTCATCCAAATTTCAAGTCGCATGATCGTGGCTTATAAGCACGATCCATGGCTCAAAGTTGGTATCAAATCGATCGCCATGCCAAGCCCTACAAGAAAAAAAATTATCTTTCAATAAAATGGGCACCAGAACAACCTCGGATCACTCATGAAAGATCACGTAAGTTCTTGAGCAGCAGCAAGAACTGATTTGAAATTCCATGTATTGTTAACCAGGGGTAAAATAGTCATTTTACACCCATTTTTTGAATTTTTTTATTCAAAATAATTGTAATTATCATCAATTGAGATAGTGTTTAAGCATCCACCCATGTTTGAGCCCAATTCTATAAATACACGCTAAACCTATTTGTAAAGGGTTGACAAGCTCTTCCCTGAGGTCCTTTCAATTATATTTGACCTACTGCTGCTAGAATAACAGCAATACAAGAGAAAAATGATGTCGATTTTAAATTGGTTCATGATTGTCAATAGAAATATCTTAGTGTAGCAATCTTGAAGATGGGGTCCCTTTGTATTCAAGTTTGTTAAGTACAAGAAGGCATTCCTTGTGCATATATTCGTGCTAGTCAAAGAGACTAATCTTTGGGATGAACCAGTTGCACTGTAAATTGTTGGTGTTGCAGCCATGTATGAAGACTAAACCAATTTGTATTTAACTTATTTTTCTTGTGCATATATTTTGGGGGGAACCTTGGAGTGTAGTGATAATTGTTTTTGTAGATTTGATATACATATGCTATGGGAAGTTTTCCAAGGCACATCCATGCCATTTCCTTACATAACAAGAGCACTGACTGTACAACACTGATCTCCAACTGTAATTTGTCATAATTCATATATCTCATGACAGAATAACAGCAGTTCCAAGAGGAAAATCCAGCTGATTTTTATTTCTTTAAAATGGTATCTTTCGATTAATAACCAGAGCGCTACTCATTAACATCCAGAAGGCTATCAATGCTTTCTCATTACATTCATTTCATTTCTTTAAAATGGCTCATTCCTTTCATTTCTTTAAAATGGCTCATAGGAATGTGAAGTATGCACATGCTCATTGTAATAGAAAAGAGAAAATGAAAAAGAAAAAGATGCAATTACAACTCATTCCATTCATTTCATTCATTAAAAAATGAACCATAAAAGTCAAAAAACACATTCCATGCTTTGAATAACATTGTAGCTTATATGTGAGTCTGTTCACAAGCATATGTGTAAATATGAGCACAAGGTGCATTTTCTCCGACAGGGCCCTGGAATGGCTCCTTGTAAATAAATGAGAGCAGTAGATGACTGCTGAATAATCAAACAGCATATGAGCACAACAACAGTGAACATTGCTGCATAATCAGCAACATAAGACCAATTTTGATCAAACTCTAAAATAAATGAGATAAAAATTGAAGAAACACACACACTAGTAGAAACACACACATATACAAGAATAGTTAACAACTGAGTAAACCTATAAGACATTGAAACATAGAAAAACCATTCAATGGAACCAAGAATAGTTAACAATGCAGTAAACCTATATGACATTGAAACATAGAAAAACCATTCAATGGAACCAGCCAAAGACAAAACACGCCAAGAACAAATCTGAATTTTGAACCGTTGGGGTGTTAAACGGGATTACATCAAATCTGAATTTTCAACTGTTGGGGTGTTAAATGGGATTACATTAGTATTTAGTTCAAAATTACAATTGTTAGAGGCCCCTTGGAAAAGGGCCACATAAACAAAAAAAATGGTGCTTGAGGCAACAATCTATACAAAAAACACCCTTTGACAAAGGGCCACATGTACAAAAAATGGTGCTTGAGGTAGCACTCTTTACAAAAAATGGTGCTAATGAGAGCACATTGTACAGAAAAGTAAAACAAAAAACAAAAAATATGGACCAAAGTACAAAAATATTGATTGAGTTCCACTAAAATCCCTCAGATCTTCTTGATTAGTTTTAACAATGCAACTTCTCAAATATTCTTCAAACATGGGGAAACAAAAAATATTGATTAAGTTCCACTAAAATCCCTCAAATCTTCTTGATTAGTTTTAACAATGCAACTTCTCAAATATTCTTCAAACATGGGGAACATGTGTGCCACTTGATTTTGTTGTAAATAAAACATTAGTTAATTGGGGGGGAGGGGGGGAGAGATTAGTTAATTGAGAGAGAGAACAATTACAAATTCATTAATAATTGAAAATGACGAATATAAGAAAGGGATCAGTTTAAGAACCTTTTGTTTTGTATTCTTCGGTATTCAGTGTACCCTTAGAGTTGGGCAATTCCTCTTATCATGACTGCTACCTTTGCACATGATACATTTTCTATCATTAGTTTGTCTCCAAAAAGGATTTCAACCGATGCTTAGGAGGCTTCCCTTTCGTCTTCACAGGTAGGGGGTCGAACACTCTCTGATTTTCTATTAAATTCCCTTCTTCACTTAAATTGACATTTAATTGCAAAAGTAGATCTTTTGGGCTGCCTTGTTGATGTGTTTGATCGATATTTTACTTGACAATTGCCAATCTCTTGAAGCCCTCATCAAGAACACAGATTGCTTCTTGAAATGTTTCTTTATACATAGCTTTATTCTCTGCAAAGTTAATCGCTTTTCTACACAATACTGCACAGTCAAGGATTCATGCAAATCAATTTGCATTGTATAGTCATGTTCATCTATTACGCACCCTTCGTTGGCATTTTTTGTCCATCACTTCAAGATGTAACAAGGTGGTATTTTAAAAATGTTTTTCATTATGAGAATAACTAAAATGTGTCTACAAAGTAATCCAACAAACTCAAACAATTGGCAACTACAAGTTGCTTTGATTTCAAGTACAGTTAATGTAACAATGAATACCCTATTTTCTTCATCATATTTTGAGACTTTAAATACAATGCTTTCCCCATCATTCTCAAATTCTATTGTAACATATTCAATACTGCGATTCAATTCCTCTTGGAATCTGTCAAACACTACTTTGGTATGAATGCACGCTGCTTCTTTCTCCATTGGAAAATAAGTCTTCAAAACCCGATGTTTGTGAACTGATTCAAAGTTTGCATCTCTCTCCTTTCTATACCGACTATCTAATGAAAGTGCATAATTCTTAACAAATTCTTTTAAAGTTCTTTTTGCATTTACATAGCCATCAAATCATACTCTCACTCCGTTGAGTTGTAGACATCTCTGCAAAAAAGGTGTTGCATATGAATGCCGGGACGTATTGCTCACGAATGTCATATATTCTGCTTAGCCATTCATTCTCTCCTAAATTGTAGCAATCGATGATTGTTTGACAATGTGATTCAAACTCATGTATTGTCTCAGAATTATAGATGCATTCGTGAAAATCATTACTAAAATTTTTTCCATGTTCCACATACACATGAGACAACTTCTCTGGTACTTTCTTTAAAATGTGCCATAAGCAAAGGCGATGAGGAGTATTTGGAAACACTCGTCTGATGGCTGCTCTCATCGCAAGATCTTGATAAGTGCTTATTGAAGTTGGATGATCGCCAGACATTGCTTGAAGCTATGTCTTAAATAGCCAACCAGATGACTCTTCACTTTCATCAACTAATACAACACAACCAAATAACACAGATTGATTATGGTGGTTTACCCTGTAAATGGCGCAAAATGCATTCGATACTTATTTGTCAAATAGGTTGTGTCAAACACAACAACATCCCCAAAAAATTGATAGTTCATCCTTGATTGGGCATCAGCCCAAAAGATTCTAATCAAATGCCCATTCTCTTGAATCACATAGAAAAATGCAGGATTTTCAGATTGCATATTTCTAAAGTATTCAAGTACAAGTTGAACATCTCCTTTTTCAAGTCTCTTTTGCCGACTTTTGGCAATGTGATTTCGAAAATGACAATTAGTGAATGCAAGATTCTCACTTCAACCCGCTTCTTGGCTAAGCATAAACATTATAAGATGTGGACGTAGTCTTGCATTGTTGTATGTGTCTATAAGATGTTGTGTTGTGTTGGTCATCTTCTTATGTGATCGCAGATATTGAACTTGTCCAGGCTTTGCTAGCAAATAGTTGTGATCTTTTACAAACTTCCGAATGACCCATTTTCCAATGTCATTTTTATTCATCGTCATCATTGCCATCACCCTTCATGGTCTTTTTATTTTATTTTCATTGTCCATATATTTCTTACATTGGAATCCTTGTTTTGAACAAACAAATCTTCTAGCATTAGCAGTTCCATCATGTGTATAATAAAGTGCGCTGACACGCATACTGAAACCTACCTGTCTAGCATATTCATTATAGAACTCCTTCGCAGATTCCTCATTCAAACTTCATGCTTCCAAATGGTTCAAACTTCAAATTTTCATTAGATTCAATTACAACTTTTACCATAGAATTTGCTATCATTCTAGCATCACCATTGACACAATAAGAAGTTGTTGTCAAATCTTCAATTGTACACTCATCCTCACCTACAATAGGAGTAATGTCCAAAGAATCTATCCCACCATAACTCACAACATCATTGATGAGGGCTTGACTTTGATATTTGTCAATATCCATCCATAACAATATGTATGCAATAATAACCTATACAACAAACATCATTGGAGGCAAGAAAAAAACCATTCAATTTTCATTCGGGCATATAAAAGATGTATATGCTGGTTTTAACCCATGAGTTCAACATACAACATAATAGCACAATTGAAATAAAATACCTCTTATGGAATGCGAATTTAAAAGCAAAACAAAAACTATAGCCCACAATCATTTCATCGCAATATGAAGACCAATATGCCACAGCCACACTTTGCATATGCAAAGACTTATTTACCCACATAAAAGTACGAATCCAACGCCAAAAAAATCGCCAGATGCACTCTAATAATGTTGGGAGTCATGATTTTGTATTATCCATTTTGAAAAAATATTTTTATTGATTTTTTATTATCCATTGAAAAGTGATTTCTGCAAATCACCCATTTCAATGGTTTTTTATTATCCTTTTTCATTAAAAGGCTAACAAAACCATTGTTAGAATGCAAGTTGTTATTTTCAATGGTGTTTTCAACTTGTGTTTTTTTATTGTCCTTTTTCATTGTTAGAGTGCAACCTGCGATTTTTCATTAAAAACCATTGAAAATTGATTTATGCAAATCACAGTTTTCCAGAAAACGGTTACATTGAAAAAACATCAATGGTGGGTTAATGAAAATTAAAAAATCAAAAAACCCCATTAAAAAAATAGATAACAAAAAAAAACCTGGGAGCAGCAGAGATACAAAAAGTGAGCAATTGAGCAAAAGAGAGAGCTGAGAGAGGGGGATCCCAAAAGATTGGAAGATTATTGCGAAATCAAGCCCAAAAGACCATTTAAAACAAAAAAATTTACAGTAATATTAAGAAATTCAAATATATATATATATATATATATATATATATATAGAGAGAGAGAGAGAGAGAGAGAGAGAGAGAGAGAACGAAACAATAACTAATTAAACTAACCAAACTACCAAGAATAGAGAGAGAGAACGAACACTATAGTTATTTAGTAACAAGTACTAGTAGAGAGAGTAGA